TTCGGAGTGACGCTCTGTGGGTTTCATCTCCAATTTCAACCATCATTTGGATGGTCCCTTCCGCCTCGATGCAGTTACTGGTAAAACTCGCCAGTGGAGTCCGCAGGTGGGTCAGGTTGCTCCTTTGCAGACCCATTTTCTCGAATGATTGTAGATACAATACATTCACACTGCTCCTAGTGTCGACCAGCACTCGGCAGATTAAAGCATTGTCAATACACATGCTTACTACCAGTTCATCCCTGTGGGGGCTTGGAGAGTTGGGTAAATCAGCTGACCCGAACGTGATCGGGTCTGTCCTTCCTTTCTTCTGGGGGGGAGCGGAGACGGACCCCACATAAAGACTCCGCTCGAACCTTTTCCGTTCGGCGTTCGAATCTCCGGTCTCTCCGCCCCCAAATATGACCTTGACCTCCATTCGAGGCTTCTTTCCAGGGCCTCCCGAGCCCTCTGGCTCATCTCTGGGAGGAACATACACATCATTCTGAGGCTGGGCGTCACGTTGAGCATCCCGGCGCCAGCTGTTAGGTTTCCTGACCGGTTTTAACGTGCCCATTGCATTCGGATCTTTGTTCACATATTTGCCCAGATGGCCCCTTCGGATCAGATCCTCAATTGCTGTTTGCAGGGCCCTGCAGGCATTGGTGGCATGACCCTTTCTGTTGTGATATTTACAGAAAGCATTGTCATCCGTTCCCATGAATTGTCCAGAATCAGTCGGGATGGGAATATTGTCCCTCTCGTTCTGATAGATGGCCGCTATTGATAGGACTAGGGGTGTAAATCTCCCTTGTTTGGGAGGTAAAGTGGCCGCTGGGCTAGGACCCAGCCGATCAGCCAGTCTGATCGGGGCAGCAGGCGTAATGACCTTATCCCTGATCATTATTTCTTCTTCTAGGGCGGCATGCTTGCGCGCCCTATCTAATACTTCGGCGTACGCCGTGCCCGGATTCTTCTTCAATTCTTTGTACAACTCCCCCGTTCGGAGAGCATTCGTGAACAGGGTGATGGCGGTATCATCCGTCATGCTTCCCACTGTTAAAGTTTCATCCCTCCACCTTTTCAGGAATTGGTTGAGGGTCTCCTTGGCGTTTTGCTTCACGCTGGTCAGATAGCTGAAGTGCCGTTTGGGATTGGCACTGGAAGCAAATTGAGCCAAGAATAACGTTGATAACTCGGTAAAGCTATTGATTGACCCGGGCTGTAGTGTCCCGAACCATTCCTGGGCAGGCCCCCTGAGCGTGCTGAAAAACAAACGACAAATGGCAGCCTCGGGTGCTCCTAGCAGCATAAGTCCGCCTTGGTAACTCCTCAGATGTACATGGGGATCTCCCACCCCATCATATATTTTGCCGGTCGGGGGCTTGGCACCCCCTTGGATATCCGCGTACATGAGCTCCCTTGTAAACGGGGAAGTAATCCCCAGTTGGACTGGTGCAGGTTGTGCAGGTACCCTGTTCATCTGGTCCCGCATTTCATTCATTTGCCTCCTCATCTCGGCCATCTCTTCCTCCTGGGCCGTCAGAGGGGGCGGTGGTGGAACCCTCATATCCGCACAGTCCCGGTCCCAATGCCGCTGAGGGGCCCTAGTATCTTCCCGCTCGGCATATTGGAAATGATGACCGACGGGAGTTGGTCCTCTAGCTTGCGACCCGACCGGGGTTCGGTCACTGGGACTGGGATGCGCTGCTGGTGGGGCGCTACGTCGATTATCCCGATGGGTATGTGAGCGGGATGACGATGTGGTCGTTTCCGCGCGTGGAGTTTCTCCTGTAAAGCTGGAACCTCCTTCTTCTTCTTTTACCATGTGCTGCATGAATTGGGCCATGTCACGCATGGCCTGGGGATTTCTCCTCAGAGATTCTGGGATCACAAAATCCCCATTAACGTGAGGATAGGATCCTCGACTGGATTGTCCCTGGGGGTTTTGACTCCCCGGGGTGTGACTCCTCCCGTGACGGTGTGAACCGTCGTTTGTATGATAGGAATTGATTCTGACCATTTTTTAAAAATAGAGGTTTTTTGGATGTTTAGAAAGTGAAACTTTTTGCAAGTTTCCCATAGACGGCGCCAATGTTGAGGGTAAGTCCCGTAGATCCGAAAGCCCAACACGAACTTTGGATATATTAGGAATGGCCCAGAATCAAAGTGTGTGAGGAAATATAAAATCTGAATTAACTAGAACTCGAAAACCCACTTGTATTTATTAACCAATCTGATTACAAAAGATTTCCCGATCAGTAAGTCGGAAACTATGCTTTAATACAAGAAATAAGAGCAAATGATGCTATTCTAGAGCTTGAGTATCGAAAATCTAACCCTTACAATGACTTGAAACCTTCTATTTATACTAATGGAGAGCATGGGCTGCCTCTTGCTGATTGGCCGTTGTTCCACCGACTTGGTCATCCATGCTTCCACTTGCTGATGTCACAGTCTGGCATTAACTGCACCTGGCCACTTGCTGGTTGGCCGTTGCTCGAACGGGATGTTGGTCCATACTGAAGATGCTGTCAAATTGGCCCAAGTATAGTATATAGTCCGAACCTCGTTCGGTATGTCTTCTTATTGGGTCAACCTTTATTTGGGCCGAACCCCGTTCGGTATGTCTCCTTACTGGATCTTCTCATCATAGAGTGATGGGCCTGTTACTTGGGCCGGATATCTTGGGCCTTCCCGATCTGGGTATTGGGCCTCTAGGTCAATACCCTAACAACAAGTCAAAAAAATCGACATGTAAGCTAAAATTGGGATTAAGAGGTGTTAAATAAGCCATTAGGACTCATTTGATTGTTTTATACAACTAGAGGTACTTATATGACACTTTATTGAGTACATGACCTTATGTGACTATTTCGTAATAGTAGAAGACCTTATTTGACTCTTTTCTCTAAAACATAAGATTAAGAGTAATTTAAGTTGACCATGTGAATAGTGACTGTGAAGTTCATTTTGGGGCAGAGGGAGTACTCATTTACCCTCATTCTCTTTCCTACTTTTTCATTCTCTTTCCTACTTTTACTTTTACACACAACCCACTACACCTTTTATCCTTCCCCTATTAATTCCTTCTTAAATCTTGTGCCAAAGGCTATACTCTCATCTATTAGAGAACGGAGGGAGTATAAAAGTGCAAAAATAAGAACTCGGAAAATAAAAATGTGAAAAATGAAAATGATATTTTAAAAAAATATACCCGAAATTTTTGAAAAGGGTAAAAAGTGAAATTTTTATAACTCAATACTTCTAAAGTGGTTACAGAATCTATTAATTATCGTGATCATTTTAATGCCAAATTTTTTCTCATTGTTTCTTTGTGTTTATTTTTGTTGACAACTTTGAAATTTATGTTTTTTATTGTTTCTCCACGTTTCTTGTTGTTGTTCATATTCATTAATTGAAATTTAACATTTTAAGTGTTTGTATATAAATCTATATAGATATTTCTATTTTAAGGTTGAAGAAAAATAAATAGAAATCCAAATAAAGAACACAAAAGTCTGAATAAACAATAATAAGAAACAATGTGCAAAAAAATAACAAGATCCAACAAAATGCAACACGATGCAACAAAATGAAATTAACATGATACAACAAAAAGAAAGAAAAATTATATATCATAGTGTCATAACAAATATACAATTCAACCTATTATTTGAATTTAGTACAGTTATCCATTATATTATTTGTTTTTTCTTCTTGTCGTTTCTTCTCCTTTATGTCACCCATATCAGTGTAGGTGTGCCTTATTAAATGTCTCTCAATCTGGATTGTCATTCATATATCATCCTTTGTCATTCTCCACACCAGTTGATGGTGGTACTCCTTCCCTGTAAAATATCAATCTCTTAAGTAAAGTTGTAAAGAAGTAAATACTGCTTACGTTCAACCTAAGCTTGCTCTACATTTATAATGTTTTAGCATAACATGTTGTTAAAAGTATATATTGTAAAGTAGCACATCAAAACTAATTACATTACATTACGCTCGTTTATAGCTTTTGATTACTTCCAAGTTCCAAGTAAAGGGCAGGTCATACTTCAGCTTCGGGCCTTTTTTCAATGGCCTGAGAAGAATCATTGAGCAAATTGTAATGACAATGTTAAAAATGTCACAATGTTAAAAAAATGTCCCAATGTTAAAAGTGTCACAATGTTTAAATTAAACTTGACATTGTAATGACATTGTATAATGACATTGTGTAATGACTTGACAATGTTAAGAAATGTCACAATGTCAATGACTATCCTGACAATGTCAATGACATTGCAATGACATTGTATAATGGCAATGTCATAAAAAAACTTGACAATGTAATGACATTGTATAATGACAATATAATATGCAATGTCATTATATATATGACAATGAAATGATGTCATTGTTTAAAATTAATACCATTGGTTCTAAAACACGAAGCTAAAAGGGAAAAAAAATTGGCTACACCTAACAACAACAAACACCAAACTTGAACTGTCCAAACTCCATCGTCAACCTTCATCGCTATAAAAATTTCTGTGACTACCAGTGTCGTCACCGGATTTCCCCCACCCATTCCTCCACGCGCCGCCAGCTACTCCACCCATCCCACCATTCTCGATCTCCAAGTGTCAAACTACGTTCTGACATTGTAGATCGGACACTACCAGTGCTCGCCGGCGGAACTAGCGGGTGAGCTGGTGTTGGTGTGAGGCGCCCCTGTTCTCTGGTATTTGCAAAAAAATATAAAAATGTTACAATGTCAAATAATGACATTGTCAATATCAATGTAATAAAAATGACATTGTCAATATCAATGCAATAAAAAAGACATTGTAACAAAGATGTTAATGACAATGTCAATGCAATAAAAATGATATTGTTAAAACAATGTCAAAATATTGTAAACATTGTGAAAAAAAGAATAGATGTTAAAAATTTAAAATATGTAAAAATAAAATGACACAATTTCAAGATAAACATCACAATGTCAAGTAAAATTCACAATGTCTAACTTTACCATCAGAAGCATTCTCAAAAAGCAATAATGTTACATTAATGCCAAAAATGTATTGCATCACATGATCGGAACCTTCAAATTGAAACAAACGAAAGAATACAGAAACATTATACAAGTACCATGCTTTGAAATAGCGGTCCGCTATTGCTTAATGACCGCTATATAACGGTCGTGGTAGCCTCCGCTACCGCTACGGTCCGCTATTGTGGTGTGAAATTCAAATCACACCGAAATCTGCACCGCTAGGCTACCCGTACAAGGTAGTATCTAAAACCTTGACAAGTACATGATCAACCAAAACATGGTCCAGGATGGATCATCTTCCTATCATCTTTCAGCATGCCCCGCTTGGATCAGCACGGAAGCCCTTTATCCCCTAAACCTGAATTCCCACATGTAAGCACCCTCGCATTTGTTTGTTTAAAAACAGGGACAGAGCCAGTGAGATGATTGTTGGACAGATCCACTTCTCGGAGTGACGAGATTCCTGCCAATGATTCCGGCACCGGACCCGTAAGACTGTTGTTGGCCAATTGGAGGTGCACTAAGTTGGGGAAAGTGTTGTTGCTGAAGAAGCTGGGTAAGCCCCCGTGAATGTTACAATCGGCGGCGGTGAAACTAAAGAGGCTCGAAGAGGAGCTCAGATCTTGCGGAATCTCCCAGGGCTGAAGCAAAAGGTTGTAGTCTAGAGTAACCGACCAGAGGGCAGGCTTGTTGCGAAACAGAGTTTGCGGGATTGAAGTGAAGCCGTTGTGGGAAACGTCGAGCATCCCGAGATTCGAGCAATTGGCAAAGTCCGGAAGTTGGCCGGTGAGGCGGTTGTTGGCGGCTCCGAACCCTAACAACTGGGAGAGGACTCCCAGGCTTCCCGGCAGAGTCCCGTTGATATTCGAACTAGAAATATCGATAGAGGTAACAAATTTATAGTTTGGGTCCGTTGTTGTAGGCGCACACGTCACACGGAGCCAGTCGCACGGATTGGGTTCGGTCCATGTGTCTTTTTCTGTGCTCGGGAATGTAATACTTCCCTTGAGCTGCATCATTACAATGTGTTCTAGGACGTGCAGACTCTGACCCGCTGTCCCATCAGCAAAGGCGGCGGCAAACAAAAGAAGCAAGCTGCCGGCCGCCGTCACATGATCGGACAAGAAACGCCGCCCCACATTGCGGCGCTGCCATTTCTTCCCCTCCATCATCATACCTGATAGCTAGTACGTACTTGTATATGCTCTTGGCCTATCTCATCTCATCTGCCTTCTTTTATACATACAGGGGTGCCCAAGCTTGTTGACTATGGAATGGCGCTATCGCCTTTCCAGCCAATTCAATATACGTATGCACTCACGCCATTGAATTCAAGTAGAACAAACACATTCCTACGCACTCACATACGCAATTATATATGTCCCATTTGACTTCGATAACTTTTCCATTCTTTATTGTGTCAAAAAACTTTGACACTTTCCGATTAAAGCAACTAATTTGTGGTTCTGTACATTTTTCTTTTCTCTTCACAAATCTCAGTCACACAGTTTTTACTTTTCTTATTTCTCACCTACATTGCACTTGGCAAAGTCCACCGAGACAGAGGTAGTACGTAGTACTCCCTCCGTTCCTAAAAATTCTTCCCGGTTTGACTTGGCACGCTTATTAAGAAAGTGGAATAAAGTGGAAATGTATGGTTGTGGTTGTGTAAGAAAAAGGTAAAATGAATGTGAGCCACACAAATTATCCAAAATGGGAAAGTGGGAAGTATTTTTGGGAACAGTCCAAAAAGGAAAGTGGGAAGTATTTTTGGGAACGAAGGGAGTATTCTTTAGGTCCCAATTTGTTTCCCAAAGTCAACATTTTTTGGTCGAAGTAGTATGACTTTGCTACAAATTACAATTGCTCTTCACACAACCAAAATTATATAAATTGCTCTATATAGGATTAAAACTTGCACAAAACTGCAGAAATGTTTTTTTTTGAAATATGACTTATTTGATCCTACTAAAAGTATAAAACTACTTCTGATATTATCAGTGAATAAAACCTATTTTCATAAAAAGAAAAAAAACAATGGTAGTCCGTAGTCGTATATGTGCACTTTGTTTATATTTTAGTCTTATATAAGGAATTTTCTCAATAAATTAACGATCTTGATTGAAAACCATTTAATTTCCAAGAAATTGTTTGTGATTATGTCTAACTAACACTACCTTCATCTCGGTCAAATGTTCTCATCGCAAAATGACACGATTATTTAGAAATTATTTATTATGCTATTTTGAGTATATTTAAAGAAATAGTTTTGATGTATATAGAATATAATGGGTTATTGATGATAAATGTGATGTTATACATGTAATATTTTTAATATTTGATGATTAATTTTTTTAAGAGTGATAATTGTTTCCTAAAATAAGAAATGAGAACTTGTAGCTAGGACGTACGATCAAAAGAGGAAAGTGAGAACTTTTGAATGGGATGGAAAGAGGAAAGTAATTTGGAATCTGGCAAAAACCTCTCCGGAAGACATCCGACGAATTGGTGACTTGCGGATGAATTCAAAGCCGGAAGAGAAAGGGTGTGTCCCTTAAATGGAGAAAGAGAAAGAGAGTACCGGTGGGCGTAGCTCAACTGGTAGCGAGGGAGTGCCACAAGGGTTATGTCTCGGGTTCGAGTCCCGACAACTGCGATGAGGGGTTACTATGCTAAAATATGCATAGGGCTTCTGCAAGTACCAGGTACAGAGCTCCACTCTCTATCTATCAGATTGGGATTATAGTCCAATTTACATCCTCCCAACGTACCGTCCGATCGGGGTTGGGGGGGAGAGCTCAGGGATGGGGTGTCATCCTTTTTTTAGAAAGAGAAAGAAAGACAAAAATAAGAAGAAAAGAAAAATAAATAGGAGGGAAGGTGGGTGTAGTCCAATGGATGACCATCCACCCCCAAGTCTCTCCTTTGTGGGAGGTCTTGGGTTCAATTCCCACCAAGGGAAGATGAGGGAGGTCTTGCTCCCAATGATTCTTCCTACCTTCATGGAGTTGCTCAGCGGCTGAGAAAGGAGAGGATGGTAATGAAGGTAGCGGGTTCGTGTGGTGGGAGGAGTAGCCTGAAAGGTGATGTAAGTCCTGCTGGATTCGTCCTTTGGATCCAGTACTGATGTAAGTCCTGCTGGATTCGTCCTTTGGAGCCAGTACTGACGAGGCTGACTGTGATCAGATCCGGATTTAACTGTCTAGGGGCTTTGGATTGGGAACAAGGGATAAACATTGATTTGGGTAAGATTGAGTTTGGGCAATAATTAACCCATCTATGGTGTGTTGTTTGAGTAAGAGAAATAATTGTATGATGGGGTAGATGAAAAAATTGTGTGTGGAAATTTCAAAAAATAAAGGGCAATATATGTGATGTAAAATGGGCAATGTGTTTTAGGAACCAGAAATGATGTTCATAAAAATTAAGGGCATTAACCTTGCTCGTACGGATGCATGGGATTAAAATGCACATGCTTTACATAGTAAGATAATGGAATGTTTGTGTTGTAATATGGGCAATATTTTAAACAAAGCAGTAGGTATGTTGAAAAAAGTTGACTCAATGTGACTACATGTAATTTGCAGGAATATGAGAGAAAGTGTGATAGTGATGCAGTGGCATTGAAAAATGAAAAGTTGAAGATTAATAGCTATGGTAATCCATATGAGGCATTGAAGAACCTTAAAGAGAATCTAAGTGATGATGATCTGCTGGAGTTCAGGAAAACACCATTTGGATACTTCTTAGACATAGGCAACATCCAGTGGATTAATGGCCAATTACTAATATTGTTAATGGCTAATTATGTTGAAAAAGTAGTGCCAATTAAAGAACATAGGGAAATAGAGTTCATCATAGGGGGGAAATTAGTAAGCATGAAGAAAACATATTTGGCCCTTATTACAGGGCTTAGTTTTGGGAAGAAGAAATGTAATACCAACAACAGTGTTGGAGACATATGGAGTAGGTACTTCCCACATAAAGACAGTGTTGAAAGGGGTGAGATTAAACAGGCATTTCAGAGCGTAAGATTAAAAAGAAGTGGGAAGATGCCATTAGATGTCGTTAAGCCTGCATTATTGCATATCTTAGGGAGCTATGTTTTAGGAAACCAATCAAGTACAAAGCTACCAGATGAGTACATTAACTTGATAGATGATTTAGAAGAGTTCAATAAGTAACCATGGGGGGAAGTGGTGTGGGCAGATTTGGTGGAAAAGGTAGAAAAGTGTGTTGGTGTGCTTAACAAAAGCAAATCAAGTAGGGTGACATTCCCAGGATACTTATTTCTTTTGCAAATTTGGGCGTTTGAAACGTTCCCTTCCATTGAAAAACAAAAAGTGTGTGTGAAAAGCAAAGCAAAGATGCAATATGGCCTAGAATACTGAACTGGTCAGCACCGACAAGGCCTTGTCAGAGCATCCTGGAGGAACTTATATTTAAGAGTGATCAGAATACTAAACGTTCACTCGTCATTATCTATGTTTTATTACAATTTATTACAATGTAAAAACTATTATACATTGCTTTTATTTTGTTTTGTAGTTTGAATGGGAAGATATGAAACCAACCAATGAGGAGCTGAAGCTTGAGGTTGTGAGGAAGGCATTATTAGAAGCTGGAACAACAGAAAAAGGAAGAGAAAGAGGGAATCAATGCTCATCAAGCACATCTGCCAAAAGAAAGGGAAATGAGGGGGGTAGTGAAAGAAGTGGTGTAAAAGAAGTGGAAGAAGGAAAGAGAAAAGAGAAGGTGCATAAAGCCATAAACTAGGCAGTGATGGTGGAAAAGAAAAGAGAGAGTCTCACAGTAGCAAAAAGAATAAGAGAAAAGAGCATGGCGTAGAAGCGGGTGAGAATATGCTAGATAGTATAATGGCAGCAATGGTCTTACAAGGCAAAAGGATTAAAAAGCTTGAAGGTGTGGTGGACAGATTGTGTGGTTTGCATATAAACCAAACCAACATGCTAAAGAAGCTACTAATGGGCAAAAGAAGAATGATGGTGAATAGATGCTTGAGGACTGCTAGGAAGAAAGAGACTGAAAAAAGAAAGCAGACATGCCAACTTTTGAGCTAGGCCCAGAATTCAATGATACTGTCATCCAGGACAGTGAAAATCTGATGTGGAAGGTGATGCACAATCGAATGATAGTGCTGAAATACACTTAGCTGGTGAGGATAGTAAAGAGACCACTGAACCGCACAATGAAGACGGCGGAGATAAAGCAGAAAATGATGGGTTGTTAGACTGTGATGGCGTCATTGACACTCAAACATTGATCATGGAGGTTGATAAAGTTGTAGCAAACATGAGGGGGAATAAGGAAGACACAGAAGAGCAGGAGGCAAACAAAGAGTTGGAAGAAGAAGATGGTTTCATGGATACATAACAATTGTGGGTCCATGTGGATTCTGTAGTAGAAAGGATCTATGTGGAGAAAAAGACAAAAGAGAATGACGGGATGACTACAGAGGTAAGTGTTACATGAGGTTATTAATGAGATCATAAAGTATGAAATATCTGATGAATAAATGTGTTTAAATAAACTAGTAGTTTAATACATATGATTTTTAAGGCTCAGCAGGCAGAATACAAGGAATCGGCAACCGATGAAGATTTGGATTCGCGGGATGCCAAGACTGCAGAGACTGCAGAAGATGGGGTAAGATATGAACACATTACTGCCCAATGAAATCATTTAAAAGCAAACACATGTAATAATAAATTGTGTATAGAAAAATCAGTTTATTACGGATTTGTGCTAATGTAGGTGTCAAATGAGCATGTGAGGGTGACTGAAGACATAGACCAAACAACAGAAGAAGATTGTTTAGATCCAGTGAACTCACAAATTGTAGTAATATTAGCAAATCGTGTATATAATAAGTTATTGATGATAATTGTGATGTTATAGATGTATTATTTTTAATATTTGAGGTAATATTATTTGACTATGAAGACTAAAGTAAATGTAAGACAGTAATTTTTTATTTAATACAAGTTATTTGTTCAATAGTTATCAAAAACAAGCTTTGTTGATGTGCCAGGTAAACACATGTGACCTGGAACCATTGGCAGTTGAGGGAAGACCAAAATGGAAGGCAAAATACCCAAAGAGATTCACATTTTCTGGGCCAAGAAAAGATAAAAGAAGGAGGACACAACAAAAGGGAAAGGAGGAAGATGGTTGTGATGATGTAGGGCATTCAATAGTAGAGCCATTCAGTCTAGATCCTTCACGAATGCCTGCTGCGGAATTGATTAAAAAAACATCAGAATCCATGCATTCTGGGTTACTAAAAAATCACAAAAAGAGTAATGATAGGAAATACAAGGTTGAATATGAAGAGTTAACGGTGACGGGCAGTATAGGAGAATGGGATGATGCAAGCATTGATAGGAAGTCATGGTACTACGCACTATACTTCCCAGGGAACTGGTTGAGTGACTTGGTAAGTACATATTACATAATTATAAATTTTATAGTAATACCAGATGAATGAGTACGTAAATATGAGGGATTATTAGTTGACTATGATTAAAGAAATGATGTTTTTTTAAGCATGTGGAGCTGGGGATGTATTTCTTACGGATGAAAGCTGAACAATACAAGTTGAAGCAAAAGTTCACAACAGCTGACACGATGTTTATGCATTTGCTGAAAAAGAATTACGATACACACATTACCAATGCAACGACATTGGCAGACACTGCCTTAAACAGGAATATAATGGGTATCATTTTTGGGACACACTTGGACTACGCGTTGCCATGGGCAGAAGCGGACATTGTGTACATGCCACTGAATAATGTAACCACTGGATCCTTATGGTACTAGACATAAGGGCAAAATGCATACGGGTGTATGATTCTAACGTTCGACGAGGTGAAACAAACATCCACCTTCACCATTACTTACCATGCATGCAAATGTTTTTACCAAAAGTGATGGATAAGCTAGGAGTGTATAATGCGCGAGTTGAGGGTCCCGTGGGTGAAGACTTTTTGCAAATCCATATGGTGAAGGAATGCCCTCAACAAAATGACAGGTATGTAATTAGCGAGTACAGTAAATATGCAAGTGTTATAATACCAAATGAGTGTTAAAACAGGAAGTGAACATTTTGTTTATTGGTGAACGGTGACAGCTGTGGAATGTTTGTTTTAAAGATGGACGAGTATTTGATGATGGATAAAGATGTTGAGTACGTGAGACCGGAAGACATGAATGCATACCGGATCAAGATGACTACAGAGCTGCTAGTACATTTCGGTGTCATAGAGGCTTAGGCTTGCAAAACTAATGCACGAATATTGTTATGTTACGATTATACTGCTGTAATGTTTTGTTTTGGAATGGTTGTTGTATTTAGAACATTGTAATGCTTACAGGTTTCATGTGAAATTTATGAGTTCAATGATGTTGCAAGGTTTTGTATGCAACCTGTTTTGTTTACAGGTTTTGTAATGCTTAATGTGATATTAGGGCAGTAATTCTACGTTGCAATGCATTGCATGTAATAGATGCAGTAATGAATGATTCATAAATCATATGTATTGTTTTGAGACAACATATTTTTTATGGTTAACATGGATCATTCATGATTTATGGAACCATATGTGTAAGAGGTCAGATGATGATGTGATTTTCATAGGAAATTAATGCATTAAAGGCAGTACATTAACGAAATGATACTGATTCTGAGAGTAGTAAGACAGAAACGTAATTAATTTTTCAGGACATTAACCCGTACTAACAAAATTAGGGAAATGAAATAACAATGAATAACGAAGTGCCATTCATTCAAAGCATTAAATTACCAGAGAATAAAGAAGTGCCTGAATAAAAGTATGACAGAGTGCATTGCAATGAAAACGGAAAATAAAAAAAAATTAACGCATGTGTAATGGAATAGGATTTCTACAAGTCTTTCTATTGTGTCTAGCCATGAGACAACGAGTGCATGTTTGTCTCCGAACGTGTTCTCCTGACGAAGGAATTCTTCTTTTTTCGGCCTTCCAGGAGGTCGTGATTCACATGATGGGGGGCTGCAAGTGATTTGCTTCACATGTGAAGGCACCATCCAACTATCCGGACTCTCAATAGGATGAATAATACCAAGGTATGTTTGTGCCCAATGATGTGTTGTATATAATTCTGAAATGTAATCGTAGCAAGAAAGTCCTGGGCGGGAGCGAATAGCTGCAACCGAATGCACACATAAAAAACCATCAAGCTGAAATTCTCGACAAGTGCACGTGCGCTCCTTCAAGTTGACAACATAAGAGCGGGATCTATTATCAAACACCTCAAACTCAAAAGCACATGATGGTTTGACCTGCGAAATTTATTATTACATATTAAAAACTATAAAAAAAATATTTAATGCAATAAAAGTAATTGAATAAAGCATAAAGATAGGATATCTTTTACAAAAGCAATGCAATGAAGACAATAAGTTGAGGGCATTACTCTCATGACGGCTGCCATAGATTGTAAAACTGCTAGTTGAGATTCAAAGTGTGCAGATAAACGGCAATTGTTTGACGAGGAAGATTCTCGCCGTTCACAAAACCACTTTTGCATTCGTGCAAAATAAACTCTATCAACTTACATATTGGGTATTCTCGGGCAGTGGCATTAACTGCATTTAATGACTCCGCATTGTTTGACATCATAACTGAGTACCAATTTCGACTAGCATAAGCACGAGACCATTTGTCGTGCCCCATTCGCTCTAAATACGTATGAATGCGTGGATCCTCACTATCAAGCATTTGAAGGTACTCTTCACACTCATAGACGGATCCAACACGAGCAGTCTGCAAAAACTTCCATGACACAGTTTTTTGAGAACCACGAAATCTTGTTTTTAAATTAGCCAAAATGGGGTAAACACAGTAACCATGCTCCGCATGAGGAAATACAGAACGCACAGAACTAATAATGCCCTCGTGCCGATCAGAAACAATATATAGATCATCCCTATGCATTAGCGAATGCTTCAACATGTTGAAGAACCATGACCAATTTTCAGTATTTTCTCCACTACAAATACCAAATGCCAATGTAAATATTTGTTTGTTTGCATCTTGTGTACATGCAGTGAGTAATGTACCCTTATAATACAACTTTAAAAAAGACCCATCCACTACTATGACCGGAATGCAATGAATCCAACCTTCCCTCCATGCAGAAAGGCACATGAAAAAATTATTAAATTCACCATTTTCCTTGCACGAATAGGAAACAATAGAACCTGGGTTACTCCTTTGAAGCACATGACACATTGAAGGTAACCGTGCATATGAATCTTTTTCAGATCCCATAGCCAGTTCCATTGCCAATTCTTTTGCAATCCATGCTTTTCTGTATGACATGTAAATGCCATATTTGGTCTGCATATCAAGCATCACTAATTTCGGAGGGTATGGCTTATTGGATGGATCATCGTACTCATGTTTGATAAGTTTGACAATAATCCTAGACGTAGCCTGGCGACTATTTCGTTGACGTACATCAGTTGGGCATGTGTGCTCAGAGTCAAATCTAGGAAAAAATAATTAATGAAAGGCATTATCTTTTGGCCAGTTAAGTGGATAATGAATTAATGCACATTGTAGAAAATGCAAGTAAAACATAATGCAAAAAGGAAGGGCATTATAAGAGTAGCACAATGGGCATTAAAACACATCACCCAACTTATAGTACTTCCCTATAGTTGTTCAAACATGCAAATAAACCGTAATTAAAAAAGGGTGGGCATTATAACATCAGCACATATGGCATTAAAACATATCACCCAAATTATAATATTGATTTAAATTTCCCAAAATAGTTTTTTTCAACTAAAAACACAGTTATACCATACACATAGGACAGTGGAAAAATAATTAAGAGATACATTAACATGGAAACAAAACTTAATCCAAAAATCAGGGCATAACAACATTTGCACATACTGCATCAAAAAACTTAATGCAAAATGGACGGAGTATAACATTTGAACATAGGGCATTACAATACTTGATGAAAAAAGAACATAGGGGATTAAAATGTATAAGAGTAGTATAATACTAATTTTATTTCCCTTAATTTTTTTAAAAATAATGTAACATTAACTCAATGCATACATTAACATGCAATCGTGTTAGTACCCAATTTTGATAAGATTTTGATGATGTAACTATACATAACACGTGTACATTGTGTCTCAATTTAATTTGCAATAAGTGACAAAATTAATGTACAATTTTTATGACTAATAAAATATGACCGGAAAAAGTAAAAATGCAATAAGATAATTTTATTTACCTTAATAGGATATTTATAACCTACCGGTATATTTTATTAGCCCACAAAAATTAAATGTCACAAAACAAGGCCAAGTTCAAAAATAAATGTACAATGAATGTATATGATTGGAGACAAAAACTTGACCGGTATTTAATACCGAATCAAGTACTGGGGACTACAGCATGGGACACACACCTGGAAGAAGATGCCGCGGCCGAATTATTTATAGACAAAAACACCTGCCGCAATTAAAGCTCCAGCACAAGAAGACAAGAGTACTACTCGTACTCTTCAGAAGTTCAACGGAAGAGATCAATCTATCCTAACCAACGGATAAGATTTACTTAGCCAAAAAGCCTATAAATAGAGGCTGAAACGAAAGTTTCTAACCAAGCATTTGAGCATCCAAAGAGAGAATTTCTATCACGAGCATTTGCGAGATATCTAGCAAAAGAGAAAGTGCTATTCTAAACTTTACTCTCTGCTTGGACTCATGCTTCACTAAACTTCCAGTTTACAAAGCTTTTCATTGCCAAATCATAGAAGTTTAGTTCCTAGTTGGAGGTTAGAACTTTCTTATAACAAATCACATATTGCTGTAAACACTTAGGAGAACAGTTGTTCGGATCCTACAGTGTAAGTAGATAGATAGAGTACCTTTTGATCCCCACTGGGTCATTAGAGAAAAGTCTAAGGACTGAGTAACTTTGAGTGGTGCTATACTCACTGTGAAAAACCTTCAATCTAGGCCTAAGTGTTGTAAAGGCTAGATTGGCACTAAGTGTATTGGGCTTAATACTTTAGTGAAATCCATCTGAAAGAAGGTGGGACTGGACGTAGGAGGATTACACCACCTCTGAACCAGGATATACTGTGTGTTTATTTACATTCATTCAACAAAGCACACACTTAGCACTTCTCACAAAAAGATTGAAGTTTGCCAGCAGAATCTTAAGCAGTTGTCTTAACTGACCAACCTGCTTATCCTACTGCTTAATCACTTACTTTCTTTGAGACCATTTTCACACCAGAGACGCACCTCACCATCACTAAAAGGTCTGCTCTACCATTTCCCAGTAATTCACTTTCTAAGTATAGCAGGTGCCTCAGCAGTTCCCTGGTGACCACCCAACTGTCGAGCCCTCTGCTCATATAAAAGTCACTTCTTGTGACCATCTCAGTTTCACCAGTCAGTCATAAATATCATTGTCAAAAAGTGTGTTCAAAATCAATCCCTGAAAGTCAGATCAAAATCTGAGCAGGTACCTCAGCAGTTCCCTCATCACCACTCAACTGCTGACCCCACTGCTCATATACATTCATAACCATTGAACATCACAACATTACCAGACTCCCTTAACATCATCAACAAGAAGTTTTACTCAAACGGATCTCTGAAAATCTGCTTATAACCTAAGCAGGTGGCTCACCAGTTTCCTCAGTACCACCCAACTGCCGAGACCATTGCTCCAGTAAAACTTCAACTTATTCCTGCTAAAGCACCTTTTTTGAAAGCCCTCATCATCCTAAACAATATTCCATCATCATTTTCATCATAAAGTCTGTATTTGTGTAGCAGTTGCCTCAGCAGTTCCCTACTACCTAGCCAACTGCTAAGCCAACTGCCAAGCCAACTGCTAGCTATCTAAGTCCAATCTTCCCCAGATCAGAAAGTGGTTAAAACACCCATTATATAAAGGGTAAAGACTTCCGTTGTGCATCTATTAATCTCTCAAAAGATTATAGATAAACTCCTCTAGAGGGAAATCTTTGTAAAGGTCGAAAAGATTTAAAAGTCTATTCAGCCCCCCTCTAGACTTTTACCCTATCCGGGACCATCAAGTGGTATCAGAGCAGAGTGTTCCTAGAGTCATTTATTGACTAGTTTGAACTAAAGATCCAAAGCCACTTCCCCTCCCAAACACTTTCTAAACAATGGACAGTCAACTAGCCAAAAACCTCCTATTCAACTTAAACAAATTTGATGATTGAAGAATCAGGATGAAGGCACATCTCAGTGCCTTACATGATGAGATGCTGGAAGTAATCACTACTGGACCTATCAGGATAATGAAGGTCAGCACATGCAAAACTGATGACCAGGAGGATGTGTACATTCTCAAGCCCAAACTAGAATGGACAACTGAGGACAGAAAGAGAAATAACCTTGATAACATTGTCAAGGATATTCTCTTTAAATCTGTTGATGAATCCATATTTCCCAGGATTAGGAAATGTGAAACTGCAAAGGACGTTTGGGATGAGCTCACAAAAATTGGAGCTGGTGATGAACAGGAGAAGGACAACAAACTGACCATGGCCCTCAAGAAATTTGAGGACTTCAAGATGCTGCAAAATGAGTCCATCCATGAGATGGAATCTAGGTTCCTAAAGATCACAACAGAGGTCTCAGACCTAGGGAAAGATCTACCTCAAAAAGAGATTTCCCTTAAAGTCTTGAGAGGCCTGCCCTCTAAATGGGACATGAAGGTGACTGCTATGAGAGATAGCAGAGATCTAAGAATCTTATCAACTGATAAGCTCTTCAGTGATCTCAAAGTCTATGAATTTGAGATGAAGGAAATAAAAGAAGAAAAGGAAGATGAATCCAAGACACTAGCTCTAGTGTCTGAGCCTGGCCCTTCAAAATCCAGTGAAAAATCCCTCAACAACCTCCTTACTAACGACCAGTTTGTCATGTTTGTAAGGAAGTTTAAAAGGTTCATGAAGAAGGAGGGAACTGCTCCAAAAGGACCATACAATCTGCCACCCAGGAGACAAGGGAGACCGCAAACCAGCGAGGAAACTGTCCTGTGCTACAACTGTAGACAACCAGGACATTACAAGAATGAATGCCCTCTGCCCTTAGCCCAGAAATATCAAGGGCAGCAGGGGACTGGTTACAAAGCTGGTTACAAGAAGGACTTCAAAGGCAAAAGACAAGCCTTTGTTAGTGAAAAGAAAAAGGAGGAACCCCAATCTGAAGATGAAAGTAGCTGAAGTGATGAAAGCTCTTCATCTGAAAGCTCAAAGGAAGCACTTCTATGCCTGGGATCCTGGCAGGTGGGTGAAGATGGCAGCAGTTGTCTCACTGCAGAGAGCAGCAGGTGGCTCAGTGAATCTTCCACCAACTCAAGTGAAAATAATGCAAGCAGCTCTCCCAAATGCTTAATGGCCAAGGACCACTACAACGATGTCGAGGTAACATCCTGCTCCTCCTATAGCTCTAGTGATTCTGGACCAAACAATATAACACTCGAATCTTTATTACAAGATTTCCAGAAAGTCCAAAATCACCACGTTCTCTTAAATGCTGAAAATGATAGACTGAAACAAGACATTAAGGCAATTCATTCCAAATTACTAGATGCCTTAAGGAAAAATGATGTCTTAGAAAAAGAGAACAAAGAGCTGAGAAACTCCAGCACAAATAGTAAAGACTCTCACCCTACTGCTGAAGTTACTCCAAACAGGAAGAAAAGAGGTCTTGGTTACTCATCCCCCACCAGACTCACTCAAAACAGTACATATACAAGCAATACTTCATACACAAGAAAGCTCACTTACCAAAAACCCCATCCCCCAAATGTTCCCAAAAGAAGGAACCAACCTGCTCCCAAACCAAAATCCAAACACATGTATAAATCAACACCTCCTCACCATCTAAACCAAAGAACCTGTTGGCAACCAATCAATAAGACCAACCACATAAAAAATACCAAGCAGACTCCTCAAATAAATAATTCACTTCCCACCTCAAGGAGGAAAAGGATTAACAAGTATATAGCCATTCCTTTTGATTACAACACCTCAAATGACTATAGACCAATCTGCTTAGAACTCAATGGTTCTAGATGGGCATGGATTCCTAAACTTGTACAAGGGAAGTCGCCCACTAACCTGTGGGCTACTGCTCAACATTAATTTATACAGGAAGGTGCTGGAGCAGCTGAAACACAAACATGGTACATAGATTCAGGCTGCTCCAGGCACATGACGAGCAGCAGGCGGCTCCTGTCAAACTATACAGCAAGGGTAGGACCCAAGGTAACATTTGGGAATGTGAAAAAACAAGGAGAAACCAAAGGAGCAGGAGACCTATCAATTAATGGACTTACAATCCAAAACATATCATATGTTAAGGGTTTAAAGTTCAATCTCATAAGCACAAGCCAGCTCTGTGACAATGGCTACAACGTTACATTCTCCAAAGACATCTGCTTGATCAGAGATGTCAAAAATGACAAACTTGTGCTCACTGGTAGAAGGAAGAAGGACATGTATATTGTTGATTGGAGTTCTGCAAAGGAAGGAATCTACTTAGTAACAAAGGCAGATTCAAACTTAAGTTGGGAATGGCACAACAAATTAAGCCATCTAAACTTCAAAACAATCAACAAACTGTCCAGAAAAGGTTTGGTGAAGGGACTCCCTGAAATCAGCTTCAAAAAGGACCACCTCTGTGATGCTTGTCAAAAAGGGAAACAAACCAAGGTATCATTCAAATCAAAAGAAGTTGAATCATCAACTAGGCCCTTAAGCCTTCTACACCTTGACTTGTTTGGACCAGTTGAACCAACAAGCTTAAGTGGTAGAAGGTACACCCTGGTTGTAGTTGATGATTATTCTAGATACACTTGGACCATATTTCTAAAGAAGAAGAATGAAACAGAGAAGAAACTACCTGAATTGATGAGGCTAATTCAAAATGAGAAAAGTCTCTCAATCCAGAAGATCAGGTCAGATAGAGGTACTGAATTTCTCAACTCAATAATAATTCAGTATTGTGAAGAAAATGGAATCCATCATCAAACCTCAGCAGCAAGAACACCTCAACAAAATGGTGTTGCTGAAAGAAGAAACTGAACTCTCAAGGAAACAGGAAGGACAATCTTAAAAGCAGCTGGATTACCCAAAAGATTTTGGGCAGAAGAAATCAACATTGTTTGCTACACTCAAACTAGAAGTCTTATTCATAAGACTCACAAGAAGACACCATATGAGCTATGGAAAGAAAGGAAGCCTAATGTCAGTCATTTCCATGTGTTTGGATCCAAATGCTTTATCCTAAACAATGGAAAAGACTATCTCAAGCCATTTGATCCCAAATCTGATGAAGGGATCTTCCTGGGCTACTCAACAACTAGCAAGGCATTCCGAATTCTCAACAAAAGAACTCTGGTGGTAGAAGAATCAATCCATGTGGTATTTGAAAACCACCCCACTGCTCAAGTAAAAGAAAAAAGTGAGTCATCAAAATCAAGGGACACTGAAAAGGCTCCAAGCTGCCTTCCGAATAATAGTGTTAAAAAGGATGAAAATGCAATTGACTCAAAAGGCAGCGGACTGCCAACAGTTGACTCAAATGGCAACCAACTGCCAGCAGTTGACTCAACTGACAGCCCACTGCCAGCAGATGACTCACCAAAAGACAACCTTCCAAACATTCATGACATTCCCAATCTTCCTACTCTACCAGATAATAATGAAGAGGAAGAAGAGGAGGATGATGAACAACAAGTTCAATCCAAAACAACCACTTCTGATGTTAGATGGTTGAGCAAACATCCTCCTTACCAAATCATTAGAAATATCAATACAGGGGTTCGTACCAGATCAGCAATTTAGAGAGAAGCACTATTCACATGCTTCATCTCTCAAATTGAACCCAAGAAAGTTGAAGAAGCTCTGCTTGACTCTGACTGGATACAAGCCATGCAAGAAGAACTCAACGAGTTTGAAAGAAACAATGTATGGGAGCTTGTGTCCAGACTCTATCATGAACATGTGATAGGAACTAAATGGGTATTCAGAAACAAAATGGATGAGGAAGACATCATTATCAAGAACAAGGCAAGACTGGTAGCCAAAGGCTACTGCCAAGAAGAAGGTATAGATTTTGATGAGACATTTGCACCTGTTGCCAGATTGGAGGCAATAAGAATTTTCTTGGCTTATGCTGCTCATAAGCAATTCACAGTCTATCAAATGGATGTGAAAAGTGCCTTCCTGAATGGTCTACTAGAAGAGGAGGTCTATGTGGAGCAACCTCCTGGCTTTGAAATCAATAGAGAGAAAGATCAAGTCTACAAATTGCACAAGGCTCTTTATGGACCCAAGCAAGCCCCGAGAGCATGGTATGACACTCTCTCTGAATATTTAGTGAATAATGGATTCACTAAAGGCAAAGTAGACAAGACTCTATTCAAAATTGAAGAAGGCCCCCACATACTGCTTGTTCAAATCTATGTTGATGACATAATTTTTGGAAGTTCAAATCAAGCACTATGCGAGAAATTTTCAACTCTCATGCAAAGCAAGTTTGAAATGAGCATGATGGGAGAGTTGAATTATTTTCTGGGGTTACAAGTGAAGCAGACTCCAAATGGTATCTTTATCAACCAAGCCAAGTATACAAGAGATCTCATGAAAAAGTTCAAAGTTGAGAACAAGTCCATAGTGAAAATTCCCATGAACACATCCCAAGGTCTAAGTCAAGATGAAGATGGCAAAGATGTTGATCCTACACTTTATAGAGGCCTAATTGGTTCCTTGTTATATCTCACCACTAGTAGGCCAGATATATCCTACTCAGTTGGTGTATGTGCAAGGTTTCAATCAAAGCCCAATGAAAGCCATCTTCTAGCTGCAAAGAAGATTTTGAGGTATCTAAAAGGTAATCCTAACTCTGGATTGTGGTACCCAACAAATGGAGGCTTTGACCTCTATGGATATTCAGACTCTGACTTTGCCGGGTGCAAAATTGATAGAAAAAGTACATCAGGTACCTGTCAATTAATTGGTGGAAGACTTGTCTCTTGGTTCAGCAAGAAACAAAATTCAATTGCTACTAGCACTGCTGAAGTCGAATACATAGCTGCAGGCAGCTGCTGCGCTCAAATTCTATGGATGAAACAACAATTGAAGGATTATGGAGAAGAAACAAAGGAAATCAGCATTTTGTGTGATAATACAAGTGCTATAGCTATCACTCATAATCCAGTATTTCACTCAAGAACCAAACACATTGAGATCAGGCATCACTTTATCCGAGAGCATATTGAAAAGAAGACCATCAAGCTAGAGTACATTCCTACTGAGAAGCAGTTGGCTGACATATTCACCAAGCCATTGAATGAAGCAAGATTCAATGA